TTCTTTGTATATACATACATATTATACATAGAAAATACCCAAACTCCGAAACAAATATTTACAAATCATACAAACATTTGGTCCGACTCGAAAATCGAAACCGAGACCTCAGTACAGCGGTCGCATACGCTACCAATGCACCAAATAGGCAGTCTGATTCAGTCAATTTACTAAATATATGACTATGCTAAATATTAAAAACTAATTATACCTAAACACAGATTAAATCATGTTACTTATTCTACAATTATTTTTCAGGTGTGGGAATCGACGGGCACGCCGTCATTGCGGCGGTAAGACCCGTTATGGAGGATTGGCTCGAGAGGCGTCACGGGACCCTCTCATACCGATTGACGCAGGTGATCACTGGGAAGGGATGTTTCGGAGATCACCTGTGTCTGATCCGCAAGGAGCCAACGCCTGAGTGACACCACTGCGATGGCCAGACCGTGGACACGGCTCTCCACACGCTGGCAGAGTGCCCGGCGTGGGTTGAGCAGAGGCGAGACCTCGTGGCGGCCATCGGAGTGGGAGTTCTCTCGCTCGATAGCCTGATTGCGGCTATCGTGCGGAGCGAGAGTGCGTGGAACTCTGCCGTCTCCTTCTGCGAGCAAGTTATGCTCGCGAAGGAGACGGCGGAGCGGGACCGGGAGAGGTTTAGAACTCTCCCGGCCCGCCAGGCCCGGGCACGGGCCAGGCAGCGCAGGCGACTCAGGCGCCGGAGGTCGCAGAACGACCTCCGTCCTCCATAAGCGCAGGCCTGGGGGTGACAGGTGAGGCCATCTGTCACCCTAGCAGAAGCAGGCCGGGGTGGCAGCGAGCGCGTTGCGAAGCGCTCTCGCTTCCAGGGAGCACAGGGAACATGGGGTTCCCACACGGGGCGGGGGTCGTCTACTCGTCTGTAGATGACCCGAGGTATGTCGGGGCACCAGGGACTTCCTTTCTAGGGTATACCTGGTTCCCCGGCTATTAGTACCCGGCGAAGGCGTGCGGTTTTAGTCGGTTCGAGTCCGACATGCCACCGACAGGTGGTATCCGAGGGGATTTCCGCACGGGAAAAAAAAAAAAGAAAAGGTGTGGGAATCGAATCAAACATAAAATCGTATTTACAAAAAGATATTTAATTTAACATAATTTACCTTTAACAACATGCTCGTAAATACGGGAATACGGAATTTAATTATAAGATTAAATTATAACTTAAAATCGTCTGCTTTAAAATCTGATAAACTTTTAAAGATTTACTAAAAGGCCTTGTAATCATCTGCCAAGACACTTTCACTAATGATACTAATTGCTTTTGTTTGTGATTAAAATTTCAACTGAATTTAACTTTATTTAAATTAGGTAATAAACTGTTTTACTCTATAAAGAGTTTTGATCTACTTACGCCTTGAATACAACAAATATATCTACTGCATATTTCTATAAGTAAGTTAAGTATAAATCGATATTAATCTTCAGTTTCATCATTAGTTCATCATCAGCCTTTCGAAGTCGTCTACTGAACAAAGGCCTCCCTCAAGAGTGCCAACTAACCCGAAAAGTAACTGTTAATATTCTACTAACAATCGTTCTTTGGTTGTTGTGAATTTTACTTTGACGTTAAGTCATGACACCCTATTCGCACCAGTTTATATAAATACATTTAGCACATTATCACTTAAAACTTGGGTCTCTTCCACATTCACCAACCCTTTCATACGCTAATTACTATTACATGCTATTAGAATAAATTTATTTTCCAAAGAGGTTTTATAAATCCACTAGACTCATAAATATACTCACTAAAACAATACCTCTATTATTGTTATTAAATTTTCAAAACCATATTAACATTAAACAAAATTGCGGGCACTTTAAAGTAACCTTGTTGATTGCTTTTGTTTCTAACAGATCAGGGCTTTGTATATAAACAATAACAAAATCGTTTCATAAATATAATAGATACTTGAGGTATATTAATTATCAACAACTAATTATTGCTTATCTTAATAATACAATGAGCAGTTCAAAGAATGTCTTTCATTGATTATAGTGCAACCGCAAAATGATCAATGTCACTTTGTAGAATAGCAGTCGTAGTCGGTTATGCTTGTAATTGTAGTCTCGGCAGCCTGCTGAAGTAAGAAGTCATTGTTTCAATAGAGTATTTCGTATGCTACGTACTGAACTCATCATATTTGATATAAAATAAATATTACCAAACAGCAAGTGCAGTACCAACCATGATATAATTTAAATCTATATACTTGAAAAATATGATAATTAATAAAAATCGCTGGGCTGTCCTATTCGGCCGTTCTTTAAACGAAAAGTATGATGGATGTACAAATTTGTAATCGAGCTTCGTAAACTCTTAACTTGAACCCTTCTCAAGATATACTCACAGTTTCCTCTTGTATAATTCTAATATTTTCAGACGTACTTTCTCTTTATCTGCAGTTCTAAACTAGATACGAGGTATGTTTTAGTCTAAGAACACTAGTAAGTACCAGCGTTTTCATTTGAGCATTTTCGAACTTCAGTTGACTGAGTTAGGTAGTCAGGTGTAAATACGCGATCCAAAATTAATAATGGAGATTAGCAAACGATCCCTCGTTAATATATACCAAAATTTAGAACTAAATATTAGATTTTATTGAATTTTTCACTTGTAGAATATTTGGTTTAAATTTACTAACTTTATCTTACACTAGAAACCCGCCTAGGCTTTGCACGGGTGTAATGAAGATAAAAAAAAATAAGTCTATAACACTCAGGGATAATATATCTTTCTAACAGTATGAATAAAAAATTGGATTAGTAGTACCGGAGATTACCTCAAACATACAAACTCACAAACTTTAACTCTTTATTATATTAGTAAAGATTGGTAGACAGTATCTATAGAAATAGAGATTTATGATAACAGTTTAAACCTAAATAGCGCTATTTTGCTAAGTGAAACTTATTAAAGCTATATTGCAGCCGGTGAATTGACGAAAATTATCAATGATTTCGGTAACAATATTTTATAATAAGACTTACCTTAAACAGAAAGAGAGGAGTAATGTCAGAAAACGGGTTGAAATTAATACGTACTAATCTAAATCCATAAAATATCCTGATAGCGTTAAAATATTCTGAACATTTGCCATCCACTGGCATTTTAATTGCCAAAAAACAATTTAAATTGTGTTTGCAATATTCCTTGCCTCTTTCTCTCGTTCGCCATCCCAGCAATCAATTGCCCGTTTTATTGTATGTAAGCTTATATTAAGTAAATAGTTAAATAACCTCACACTAGTAGAATGTATTATAATACATCTGTTATTTCATCAGTTTTAATAAATTTGCTAAACAGTTACCTAATCAGGTTTTTTGAAGCATCGTTTAGAATTTTTACATTTGTTATATCAACGCAAAAAAAAACAATGTAATTTACACCAGGTTTTTCGTTTGTCTTTAAATTACATTGAGCCGAGATTATTTATACACTACCATCGACATGTTTATAAAAACGTTTTACAGAGCATGAGTTATCCAAACTGCATTATTCAGATAGCTCTACGAGTAGATCAGTAATTGCAAATTAAAAATGTAATCAATCTTAACAAAGAGAGTGTGTGAAACGTTGTTTGAAACGGTAAAATGCCCTCCATGTATCAGAATGAGGGGCCCTCTCATACTGATTTTGATGGATTAATTTAAAATCATAATTGGGTATCTAAAATCTTTACAAAAAAAAATATCAAAGTATCCAGAAGCGATGACATACAGATTACACCAAATATTTTTTAAACATTTGAGAAGAATAAACAATTTCATTTATAATGTAAGTATTACCTTGGGTAATTTATAGCCCGATGATATTAAAATTGTGTAGTAGGTACCTCTTTAGGTTACTAGTTGCAAAAGTTAAATAAAAAGGTGTTCATAAATATTTTTTCAAACACGTCCCATTGTTACAGCCACTGTGTGTAATACATACAGATAAACATACAGGAGTATGTCTGTGAATAGAAGTATAGGAATAAAGAAGAAATGTTTAAAGGCCTCTATACAGACACACAATAATGCTAACTAAGCAGTAGTTTCAGTTTGGAAAGTGCTATCATTTGAGAATATACTTCTCAAATGATAGCACGTTCCAAACTGAAACTGAGGGCATAGTTGACTCCGTTAACTGAGTTGCCTCGTCAACGCACGATCGGCGTTGCAAATGCGGTCATCGTGACGATGGGGTAGATGTGAAATAAATTCACACTTAGGCCTTTGGAACTCAAGAGATACAAGTGAGTTGGCTCCCACTGAGTGACTAAAAATATGGAGTGATTGACTAAAAAAATATTGAATCAATGACTAAAAAGAAATAATAGTTAAAAAAAAATAAAAAACATGCTTTTTTATAGAAAACCAAACTAAAAAATTAAAAATAAATTTTATTACATTTAAAAAAAGCGTTGGGTGCTTGTTGTCAATAGTAAAAAGCACCCCTTGCTTTTATTCAAACTTATAAAAAAATATTTATTTATATATTTTAATATAAAAACACCCTTTTTATAGTTTGGTTTTCTATAAAAAGGATGTTTTTTAGTTTTTATTTAATAATTTTTTTTTAACTAGTGTATTGTCCTCGATATTTCTACAAAGTTTGAACGAATTCTGACGGTTTAAAGTCAGTCAAAATCCGGCCTACGTTAACTCCCTCACTCAGTGAAAAGAATTGCTTAACACTGGTTTTGTGTGAGGTTTTGGTATCATTACGGTTGGGCTGACCAATATATTATGCTTAATCGGATTATAGAGAGAAGATTCAGAAAGTCGTGAATGGCTACCAATTCGCCTCGTAGCGAGTCAACTTGAGACATCTTAGACGCTTAGTTAGCATTACTGTGTGCCCAAAGAACATAATAATATTTCTCCTCGGTAATATGACAGTAATGTTTGTATTTTTTATGTTTCGAGGTTCGAAATTTGAGCTGGTACAACATACTATTTTATCAGCATTATGCATTATGGATATTTCTCAGAAGGTATGTCAACGTCGTGACTAGACTCGTACATACATTGATATTACCTATACATAGTACTCGTAGTACGTAGATAAATGATATATATATGTATATATATATATATATAGTAACAATTAATTATTTTGTTCAGGTTTAACGTTATATTTACTTATTTTATAATAGCTTTTGTCCGCGGTAAATACAGACCTCTGTAGATTTTATAGGTATATATCGAACCACCGAAGTTTTTGGAAATATCACAGTTAATAATTCCTTCCAGTGGTTTCTCAATTTTGTCCTAAACTAGACTAATCCTAAATAAACTATCGTTCAAATAAAGGGTAATTATCCTGTTACAGAAGACTCGATTTCACAGAAGTGTTAAGCGTTTTAAATGGGACGAATTCGATTTACTATGTCAGGGGCAAAAGTACTTGTATTTCAAAGAATATCCGTAAATGTAACGTTAATATTGCTATGTAGTTTTCCAAATTCATAAAACTGTCATACTCTAAATCACTCTAAATTTTAGAATCATTTAAAGTATTAGCGTTTTAGAGTCTAAATAGTCTATCTCTAAATTATTATTAGTATAATATTTCAGCTGTTACAGCTATCTGTCTGAGAATAGTGGGTGGAAACCCAACTACAATAGAGGAATACCCAACTACCGCTGCAGTTCTTGCGATAAGCGACAAACGTCCTAGACACATTTGTGGCGGTACTATCCTTGACAAAAGAAATATTCTCACTGCAGCTCACTGTTTCATGTAGGTAAAGTATTACTCAAAATGTTGTAAAAGTTTTTTTTTTTATTTTTAGTTAGGTTTTTCTCTGTTGGGGATATTCACGGCTAGCATTATAAAAACACATGAACATCTAATGGCCATTTACAAATATCCGCTATTAGAAATACATGTATAGCATCAAATTGGAAGTCAATAAACAAAGACAAAATACAGCACTCATAGTCGTTCAAAAAAATCTCTTATGTTTTATGTATGTGTGTATATTTTATGGTAGTATTTAAAACCGTTGTGTATAGCCAATTTGGATGGATGGATGGTTTCAAAGTTTTTTTTTTAATCCCGACATCATCATTCTCGGTACTAAATATCTAGTTCTTAGTCAGGTACATGGTGAGCAATAGTATCTCTCTATTTTGTATTAGTCTCTGTATTTTGATCCATCCTAAGGTTGCCTGAAAGAAATTGCTCTTAGCAATAAGGTCGCATTTTGTACATTACGTATCTAAAATTTTATGTACCATACTACTTGTAAAACGATGTACCTACAATTAAATAGTTTTCTATCTACGAGTATATATATCTATGAAACAAACAGACTCTTCAGATTTATAATATTAGTATAGACACACACATAATTTTACATTATATTAAGTTTTAACATGAAGTTTATTTATTGAAATTTACTTTTTTTTTATTTGTTATAGGAAAATGGTAATGTATCTGAGGAACTTCAACACTTCCGAGTTTTTAGTATCAACCGTGACATATGCAGAAGTCGTTACAGAGACTCTATCGTGATCACCGATAACACGCTGTGTTCTGGCTGGCTTGATGTCGGCAGCCGTGATCAGTGCACACGTGATTCAGGTAGCCCTTTGTACCACAACAACGTCGTTATTGGCATTTCCTCCATTGGAGTTGGATGTGCCAACCTTGTTTTCCTGGTATTAATATGGATGTCACCCGTTTTACTGATTGGATTCAGAAGAATACAAAACGTGAAGCAAATAATTATGAAACATTAAATCATAAACAATCTCCAACTAGGATACGTTTTAATTGGAAATCATTTTTAAATTGCTTTGTTGATCCAAAGTTCCGAATAATTAGGTTCTTAACTTCTTTATTAGAAACTTTGGAGACATGAATATCTATTGAATATGTACCTGGATTATTTCAAGAAACTACCGAGGATTGATAATTGAAATAATCGTTGCAGCAAAGTACAACTATTCTCGACAACTACGTATAGTGTGAACCTAACCTTATTATTTAGTTTCTTACATTGCGATATCAGTTTATTGCAAGTGTGTATTGCAATGAATAAAATGAAAATTATTGTGCTGTGAAAGTGTTAAAAATGTTACCCTATCCTTACAATTACAGTGCATTTTACCGCGTTTACATTTTATCGGACAAGAGATCTACGAATTAGATCATCTGTTGATCTACCGGTTACCGATTCCGACTGCTAACCCTGGGCCTGTGGGTTCTATCAATAACATGTTTGTATGTATTAAAAATAAAAAAATAATAATAATATAATATGGGCGTTTAAACTCACACGCACACACACCGCTATCTATACTCCTTGAGGATAAAGACGCTATAGACATATAGACGAAAGAACATACATAGAAGAAATCTGTATCATGCAAATCAATGGGTACCATTATAAGAGATTGTTTGTACATGAAAGACGATTAAATAAATAAATTTACATTACAATTTATTTTTATATCAAGCTTTTTAAAAATAAAATTCCAAGTTACACGTTTACAGTTAAAAATAACATACAAAACTGCGGTTAGTACTGAAGTCTATTTAAGATAATAGAGTTATTGGTTGGAGTGAGTGTATTATTTCTTCAGTGGTCTACTTTGCAAGAAGTACTTTAAATTTGAATAAATCAATTCTCGTTTCATTAACTAATTCAAAGTACTTTCTTTAAAAAAATTAAAAAGTCAATTATGACTTTGTGACGAGAGCGTTATAAAAAGTGTGATCGGGTAAGGCGAACGAAAGTTAATAGGGAGATATAAGTTAGTGAAGATAGATAGAGAGAGAGTTACGTTTCGTACATTACTGGAGGGGCAAGAGAGAAAGGTGCGAGCACACATTTTCTTTCTCTATTTCTCTCATAGCCACGAAGTTTTACTTCATTCGTGTGGTCTAAAGCACACTTTTTTTTTTGTTGCATTAATCGAACTAGCAAATAAAATAGATTATATTTTTCACCTTTTTTATCATCCATGCTACATAGTTGCTTTTTTATTAATAAAGGTTCTTTTAGTTCAATGTGTTGTTTTATTCCTAGAAACCGTGTCTCCACATATAAGTAAGAAATTCGAAGATATTTTTTGATCGATTAGGATAATGTTTTTTGGTATTAAAAGGACAATGGCAGGTCCCCATACATAATTTTATTTGAAGTGAAATGACAGCGTTTAAATATCAAAAATGCCTATAACCCTTGAGAATTTATTCTTGAACATTCTCATAAAAAAATTACTAGCGAAAGAAGTCTAGGAAAAAAGATATTGGATTTTGAATGTTTCGAGGTTAAGTACTAACATATTGTAAATGTTTTGTTTGAAACTAGATGGCGTTGTGTGTCATATATTCGAAAATATTATTCATCATTATTATTACTTATAAGCAACCCTATCTTGCTGTAGAAAGTGTTAACCGACTCTCTAAATGGGTGAAGGAAGGAAGGGTATTTGCTTGGCATGTATTGGTAAACAATAGAAAAAAATCTTCGCTTACATAGCAGGTGTAATACAGCAGGTGTAATAGTCATAAATACATAAATTATTAATAATCATTTGAATAAATGTACTTCAATACACATTTACACAAGGCGGGAGAATTTATTTTATTATTTAGTTATTCAACAGTCAGTAGTTGTGACATTATTTACTAAAATCTAAAGCATGCATGCATTATATTGAGATTAATGCACAACATTTTAAGGCATCACATCATGCATAATGGAGTAACACTATAAAAAATTAAAATAAACATATATGAGAGTTTAATACTAAACAAAAGTAAAACAACCAAATAAACTACAATTGCCTTGTGAGAAATGGTATGTAAGTCATGCGTGTAAGTGTCAAACGACAAGACTATAGTCCGTCAACGTCGTGCGCGACCGTCCTGCGGGGTGACAGACGGTGGCGGGGACGAGGTGCTCACGATGTCAGCGGTGTAGCCGTGTGCTAGAATGACGCGCTACCTCGCCCCCGCCACTGTCTGTCACCCCGCGGGACGGTCGCGCACGAGATTGCCGGGTTATAGTAAGTGCGACGACGACGTATCGACATTTTAAAAATATCGATGCATGTCTATTTATATGCCGTTATCAACCTACAATGTCTTTTTCTCATCACACTAAGCAGTATATTGTTTTAGTATTTTTCTGTAGGAAAATAACGTAACTATATTCTATTTATTTTGGTGTAGCAAAAATCTTTTAAAAAGAGTCAAAAATATTCTAAATTATTTCTAATTAGGTTGATTTAGTCACTACAGACCTAGTTACGGTAGCGTATGAGTAAACCCGTAGGCAGAAGCAAATTCATAATCATAATAGATGAATCTTCGATAGTTATTTAAGCCAAAGTTATAACAATCGCTTATCGATAAAACGTTCCATAATATAATAATGTCATCACGCATCTCTAGTCAGTTCGTGATGGCGATTCTGACATTACGTTCTTAGGTCAAATAAAATCTTTAAAATATCCAATCTCTTATTAGACTTATACAATACATGGCGGTATAATGATAAATCATAGAAAAAATATTTAGTAAGTTTACTGTTAGTAAATTTTTTAAACGCTTCAGTTTTAGGTAAATATGTTTCTGCCATTGTTCTTTGTAGTTTTCATGATTTATAACATACATAATATATATAATATACATATGTATTTTATAATAAACAAGTCATGGACCTTGTATCTAAAAGAAACTGACCCTTGTTACTACGCCTGTGTCTCTCAAAATGTCTTTTTTTTCTTTTTGGCAATCTTTCTCATTGATGCATGACTCTGATTGGTGTAAGCGTGATATAACGATGAGGTATCCAACACTTAAATAATTTTTCAACCAATTTATAAAAACAAACCTTCAGCCTTATTTATTAAGGCACATTTACAGAGTGAACACACATTCACATACATTAATCATTTAAAACTAAGTGCACGTGCTACTCTAATAATAAATATGCAGCAATGAAATTACAATTACACACCATTTACATATTGAGAACGTATGAAGAATTTGAAACTTAACTTTATGTAAAACTGAAAACTAATAAACTTTAAGAGATCAGCAGACTACATTTGTAATAATAATAATATTTTACTACATTCACACAACGCTATCAAGTCCCAAACTAAGCAGACCTTGTACTGTGGCTACTAGACAACTGAAATAAATATATTTATTTTTTCTTTGTAAATACATACATATTATACATAGAAACACCCAGACCAAATCAAACATGTTCATGCACAAAATTGATTGACTTGAGCGGGAATCGAACCCGCGACCTTTGGAATAGCAGTCAGTTATACTAACCACTACACCATCCGGTCGTCAAATATTACATTGTATAAACATTATAGTAAAATTTTAGCAAATTTAAAAAAAAAAGTGATAAATTTTAAAAACTTTTATATAATTAACTTCTAATAAATTCTTGCCATTGATAATTTACGTTTAAAATGCTTGAACCGGTCGTATAACATTGGTATAGATTTTGTCTTCAGTCTTATGCCAAAAAAATTACGACTATCTTGTCGGTAGTGCTCAAGGCCCAACATTTGCCAAAGATAAGCACCAGGGCTATGATATATAGGTCTATTTGTTACAGGATTTCAACAATGTTGTAGTAGATCAAAAAATCTTTTGTCAGCTTATCGATCATTGCCACTTGGCTGGCACTTGCCTGACAATTATCGCAAGAACATCATCGATTAATCGTTTTAACTTATTAAACTGACGTACAATGTTAGTACGTTCAATTAGATAGTGAATGCAAAACGAATCGGAAATTGCAATATTCTTTGTGGCCTGTCTTGTAGGCATTTTGAAATGACAGAGGAGCGTGGATATAATGGGCTGTCTAGAGATAAATAGCAAGAAACAGAACTGAAACACTTTAAAAAAAATATACAAGGTATGTCTCGTTAGTTGTGAAGTCAAGTTGTCTAGGATAAATTACTCTAGGTAGTAGGCCCCAATATTGTCTGTTATAAACAAATATGTGTTTCTTTCCTAATTAATAACCTAAAAACATTTGATATTATATTTGATGATATTTTATATTAATTTAATTAAATACACTCCGAAGATGATTTTTGCGCAACATAAATTTACAATGGCTTGTGAAACTATAAAACATTTGTTCAAAATTACTTTTTCGGAGAATTTTTACAAGGCACTCTTTTCTCATTCTATAAATTTATAAGGCTATTTTCTTACTACGTTTGAAGTACTTTAAATATAAACACGGCAATATTCTTCCTGAATTACCTCGTTCTCAGCGTCAGCTGCTTAGATTCAAGGTCTATATTCAATGTACATGTTACCTTGGAATCGTATGTCCTTATACGAGCACAAGTATCATATTCAGTTTACAAAAGCTATGGTTTGTGACTTAAGGGCGAAATCTAGAAACGTTTCTTCTACATTCATGGCCATTAACTAAACGAATGATGAGTAGTAGACAATTAGAAAAAAGGTAAATTAGCTTTCACAGAAAAAAGATAAATTAATTCGAAATCCGAAAATTAAGTTTTTTTCATAATTAATACTCACTTATACTACTACTCACTAAAACTTATGTATATTTTTTATTTGTTTAATGTATTTCAGAGTGACGCCCAATGAAGGTTGACTGACACTTATAAATGAATTTAATTGAACTTAGTAGAATAATGCATAGTTGGTTATTGTTGGGTCTCTGCTTTTGGAATTTCTCAGGAGGTCTGTCTACTCCATTAAGTTTATGTTTATTTTAGAACACATTTTTGTTAAAATTAATACGTACATATACGTATAGCAACACCCTGCCTGCTGCAGTTAATAACTAAATAAGTTGAAACCACTTGAACGCATTATATAAAAATGGTACATATCTTATAGATATATCTGTATCTTATCTATGTGCCTGCCTGCCTGACTGTCCCTGCAATAAAACCCGGTTACAGGACACTGTGGACACTGTGGTTTTTGTGATTTGAAGTCTTACAAGCCACGTAACTATTTGACCCCGTTAAACAATCAATGGGAAACAGTTACACATAAAGAAAAAGTAAATTTCTTTAAATTGCTTAACGTTTCAAGCAGGTTCCTCTAGATGTAGTTACAGGCACATGATCGCGTTAGTTACTATTGTGTATCATGATTTTGTACATGTTCATAATTTTACTTTTAGTACTGGCGGTAGTCGATTTCATTATGCATAATCTATTTATTTATCAATACATATAAAATTACTTGCTCCATCTAACTGACTGATTAATCAACGTAGAGCCTAAACCGCTGGGGCTACAAACTTAACATTTTGGCATGATGATGTCATGCCTGATGCTTTTTATACTGTAAGCACCCACTAAGTCCACTAGTCCGTCGGGTGACGGATTAAGAATACAGTGTCACCACCCCTATTCATCCCGTGGGTATCGTAAGAGCCGACTAAGGTAGCAAGACAACAGCACTGCAAAAAGAAGGAAAACTTGACTTGAACAAACCCTTTATCAACTCGTCTGGCCAGCGTGGTATAGTAGGCCAAAACCTCCTTTCTAAGGAGAGGCCTATGTCTAGCAGTGGACTGTATAGGCTGTTGATGTGATGATGATGATGTGATGACCCACTAAGAGAGGATTTTTGCAAAAATCGCCCCTAAGGGGGTAAAATAAGGGATAAACGATTGTATTTAAGTTTGTCGTTTTCAAAGTCAGAAACACGTAGCCACGGGCAATAGATAGTTATACCTGAATGATAGTAACCGAGTCTGAGAGATTAACGAAGTTGCAGACAGCAAGAGTCACACTAACGAGTAAGTGTCCGGAGATTTTATTAGTGTTTTTTTTTTAGTTGTTGCCACCGCCTGCCTGAGAATCATCGGTGGAACTGTAACTACTATCGAAAAATACCCTCCAACAGCTGCAGTTCTTTTGATCGGTTATTTCAGTACTAACCAAATTTGTGGTGGTAGCATAATTAATCAAAGACATATACTCACAGCCGCTCATTGTTTTACGTAAGTACCTAATGAATTAAATCTACTTTGTAATCTATATACTCGGGCTAATAAGTTTAGCAATAATGAGTTGCATCTATTTATACATTACCTTTATATTGTAATCATCGGATCGGAATTGAAAAACTTCAATGAAATGCCTTAGACAGTGAAGGCAATCAAGAGATCAAAACAAACAACAAAGATTTGCTCACCAAGCAGCAACTTTTAGAACACAACTACACTTCATCACGTGTTTAGACTCTACTCGAGTTATTTGCAGAAACTATTACACAACAAGTGAGCATTGTTTCTTAAACAATATAGATTCAAACCAATAGTTTTTAATTTATTAGTAGCAAAAGTAATTGTGTGTAGTTATTTGAATATAAGAAATATTGAAACATAACACCATAAACCACTACGATTTGTGAAATGTTACACAGACAATCGGTGTCGTATATTTACAATCGAGAACTTGATAATTACGGGTGTATAAATGTATCTCTTAAATGCGAGTACCTATATATATATATATATATATAGATATATATGTGTGTCTCCTAAATAATTAGTACAATTGTTTAAGAAAAAAACCTTTGGTTTTAATGTCCAGTATCATATGTAATTTTATTAACAAAATCCGGCGGTAGCTTGTTCATCAGTCGAGGAATTATGTAGGTAGTAATTCTTTAGCCTTACGTGTTGTTTGGGAGCACTCGGTTTAATTGCATTGCCGCTGTAGTACACACAGGTTATTCTTTGACTTTTTAAAATTTGATATAAAAAAGTTTTCTTTTAAAATATTAAACTTAAATTTATTATGACAGGTAATATCTTACAATCTCCAATAACGAGACCAAATTCGTCGTTCTATAATGATAATTAATTATTTTGGGATACAATATTCTTCAACATTTTTAATTAGGTTTGACCATAAATATTAAGCCCATACTGGATTTAATATTCTGCTAATGAATGATACAACATTATTTTGGCTTTCATTGGAGTTTATTTTTTAGAATAAGCAAACATATTCAATATGAGCCTCCCCCCCGATTTAAATTTACTATCTGTATGTTCCTTACAATATTACCATTTTTGTGCTTTATGCCAAATCAAAAAAATGCATGTGAGAGAGAATATAAGTCAATTTATAATTAAAGATTATTCTTCCTAGGTTTACGCTTAATGCCGGTGTATATCTAATCCGCGTAGGTTCTTCTATGGCTCACAGCGGTGGCACTACCCATCACATCGACCGTATAATCCTTCACCCTCAATGGAACACAAGGACAGTTGACAATGATGTTGCTATCATGCGTACAACAACTGCTATTACATACGGTATAACAGTGCAACCAGCGAATTTAGCAGAAAGTACATATCGTCTCCTAGACAACGACTCTGTTTGGGCGGTGGGATGGGGTCTTACATCAGTAAGTACTACATGAATGTTAATTTTTTATACTAATACAGGCTATTACGAAATGTTGCGGTTAATATTCAAGGATTGTATAAAAGGTCCGATGAAAAAAGTAAGGCGCTAACAATTTTAGAAAACAATATCATTTTAAATATAGAAATCTTATTGTAACATTGATAATTAATTGAACTTGAAAATTTATTGACAAACCACATAATATATAGAATTCCAACATTGTGGGTGAAATGTGTAGATTTTTCTGGCAAACTTTACATAGTATAAAATGAAGTCGCTTTTTTCTTGTACGCCTAGATCATTCAAACTACGTCACGGATTTAATATGATTGACACCAATAAAAAGAGTGATTCAAGAGGTGGGTTTATATGTTTATTACACGCATATTATAGTAGAGAAAATTCTAATGGCTAAACTGGGAACACCCAAACACTCCAAAATATTGTATTCCGAATTTCGATATTCCGATTTTCTTAAATCCAAATTTCATAATACCTCAGAAATATAATGTCTATTATTAAAATTCCCGAAATTTATTTTACCGAAAGTTGTACATGCGAATTGTTTCTTTATCGATTTTTATACGTTCGACGAATCAAAAGCCATCGAGGGTTGTCGGTCCAAAACCGTCCATTAAAGTGTGAAGGCGAGCGAGCGTGCCGTTGCAGCGACCGCCGAGCGCCAGGTCCCCACTATTGTTGGTGAATTATTTGGATTAGGTTAGGTTAGCGAAACAACATATTTTTATTCGAATTTTTGATGTTTCGAATTTTAGTACTTTTGAAACTCGGTATTTTGAGCATAGTAATTGTAGACGTTAGGAATATTGAAATTTTTGATTTTATTTTTGGTTATATTAGGAGTTTTGAACAATTCGGAATTATGAAAATCGGTATTTTGAAATTCGTATTTGTGACTGATGGAATTAAGTTTTTTTTTTTTAATTAAATTAAATTTATGGAGCGTAAGTAGATCAAAGTAATGTACTATTGAATTGTATATCTTAAAAAGGGGTACACTATACAAATACGAAAAACTTTATTTCGTCCGTCACAAATACGAACTTCAAAGGACTGATTTCAAAACTCCTTATATAACAACTCCGATTTATCATTCTTCCTATTTTTTTAATTCAAAAATTTCAATATTCCTAACATTAAAATTACTATGCTCAAAATATAGAGTTTCAATAGAATAACAAAAAGTCCGACCAAATGATAATTCGGAACATCGAAAATTCGAATTCTTTCTATTTTATTTCGAATAAAAATATTTTCTTTCACTGGTCGCAGTTCTAACCTAACTTTACGCAAATGATTAACCACAAAAAGAGGGCACTTGGCGCTCAGTGGCCGCTTCCGCGGCCCGCTCGCTACGCTCACTCACCTTCGCGCTTTAATGGTCATAGTTCTAACCTAACCTATCCCAAAAAAATCAATAATAGTAGATGGTACCCGACGCAGGTATACATGAGGAAAAAAAGAAACCACAATACTGTATTGAGAGAGATGTGTAAGATATTATTATATTTATTATATAAATACACAAATATTAATAACAAAGTAGACGTTTTTAAATTACATTGAACTTTACTTATAACTTTTGAATATAAATGCGGGAGCAAAGCGGCCGTCGCCGCGTCGGGTCCCCGGGTAGGACCAGCCAGCAGGAGCCGAACGGGCCTAAAAAAATGCATGATAAAATTGTCATGTAGAATAGTCTTCTGTAATAATAGTATAATTATTTACTTCACACATACACCACATTAGAAGTATATTAAATTGCACCCGTGAGAAACCAAAGCGGATCGCCAGTATCAATATAACTAGAAGTTAACGAACGCACAGGTTTAAGCTATAGGTACTAAAAATCTTTGAAAATTGTTCCCTTAGTTAGAGGATTAAAGAAAAGATTTGACTTTATATAAGTCTTTGTAATATTAGAAATTATGCATGGAAAGGTATTAGAAAAGATCATGGTTAAAAGTTTACAATAGCCGGTTTTACGAAAAGTCGTCCTTTAACGTTGAAGATGTCGCACCTTTATTCATAAACTGAATTAACTTAGAATTTCAATATTGTGGGAAATCGCATTTAAAGTTTGACATTCATGTACGTGCAAGTTCGTCAAAAAGAGAACGACGATCTCTTATCTCTGCCATTTTCATGGTATCGAGTCGGCTGTTGGATTGTTCGTGTTCTACTGATGAAGTTGATTTGGTATTTGTTGAAAACTCGAAAAACGTAAATTTTGAATTAATTCAGTTTATTATTAAAGGTGCGATGTACTTTCATCTCATATATTAGCCAATTAAGAATATTTTATAGAAAAAAGTGATACTTTAAATTTTCATTACTAACCGTTAATATAAATATATATATATATAAATAATAAACATATAAATATATTAAATTTTAAGATTTATACATACAAATTAAAAATCGTTTTATCCTCCGTTTTAAGGCCTTGGTAATTTATATCTGACGGTACAGTACAACTGTTGTTTCTAACCACGATGATCTTTCTTTTTCATTTCTTACGTCATAAATAAAGAACTTTAATTTAGACTTTCATCCCCTATTTTAAGAATTTAGGAAATCAATATATCTTACATTCACTTAAACGCTAAACTGGTTTTTTTTATTCTTTCCAGGAATACGGTCTCCCGTCTGAGCAACTACGCGATGTTAATGTTTTCGTTGTCAACTCTGATATATGTAGAAGTCGTTTCAGAAACCATATAGAAATTACTGAAAATATGATTTGCACCGGCTGGCTTGACATCGGAGGCCATGATCAATGTTCACGTGACTCAGGAAGTCCTGTATACCACCACAATACCGTCATTGGTTTTTCTTCTATGGGATTCGGATGTGCTAGACCTTGTTATCCAGGTGTCAATGTGAGAGTCTCTCGATTCTCAAACTGGATTAAGGCTTTGACTAACGTAAAAATATATACCAAGCCCACCTCACCGGCACCAAAACGAACAAAAGCATCGCCTATGGGAATCGCTTTTGACATAGCTTTTAGCTCTATTGAAAAGAAATAATATTATTAAAGACTTGATAATAAATGATGATTTAATTGTTCTTCTTAATTCATTCAATTGTCTGTATACAAATAAAATCTGTATAAAATTGTTGCAAGTCTGTATAAAATTGTTGCAAGTCACATGTGTAGTGTTATTTCCATTTAACTTTTTGATTTTAAAATTAAGAAATATATTTATTTTTAACGATAAATAAGTGGACCCATGAAATTGAAGACTAGTAAAGATGCCTTTTCTTTTTTTATGTGTGAAAATCCTCCTCAGGCAGTCACCTCACCGAGGCTCGCAGTAGGGCGTGAATCGAAATCAAACCGAATAAAAACACACGATATGCCAGTTTGTGTCTGCAATTGGAGGGATTTGGACATAGCTGTTATTAAGATATCTGGATCCCCCCCAGCGCCTGCCTGCAATAGCGCGGGCACTATCTTTAAGTTGGGTCTCTGATTTAGGTAACGTCCGGCACACGTGGACGTCACCTCTTCGCGGTTGGCGTCTCTGGCGGGTGGAGGGGACAAACCGAAGAATCCGTCACCGAAAACGTCGCCACAAGTCAAAAGCACTCCATGGATTAACTGCAAAGTCATCTGATTACTTTATATGTCCAACGTCTTCCGATACGCTTTCTGATCTGTCATGTGGCCTCTGTCGTAGAATTTTTCATCTCACTGGATTTTTCATTAATCTGTATTTTACGTCATAATTATCCGTTTCGGTTCCACAGACGAATCCTGTGGAATCGAAACCGAGAATTATAAACATCGAATCAATATGTCATCACTCTTAACAAACACTAATTTTAAGGTAAGTACTTAGAAAATTTTGGATGATTTTCAACGCTACCTAGGTACCTGCCTGGGTACCTATACCTAAGTAGCGTTGAATTTCTTCGTTATATTCAATTTCCTCGTTACACCTACGTGCACTGTAATGATTAACGACGACAATAATGACAAATAGTTGTGGTTATACAGCAAGGTGTCAAGTTTTTTTTTTGCAGTATTCTATGATGTAAGTATGTTTGTAAATGTGTTGCTATTGATAGTACGAACACGGAAATTTTAAAACAGAAGCACAATCATGTTACGGTAGCCTCGTATGTATACAGTGTCATTTTCCTTTAATATTTGGCTTTCAACCAGTTCAGTGCTATGCACGGGAATATAGAATGGACTTACTCTCCGTTCAAATAAATATTATTTTTCTCTGAGAATGGAACATTCCACTGTAGAGTGAATTAAAGTTAAGTACACAGAGTTATGTTATTGGGATTATAAATTAAAATTAGGAAGTTAATTACTATTATACTATTAGAGAAATTGGCAAAACATAATAGTATGTTTATTCCTTGAGCTGTCTACGTAATATTTCAATTGATCGTTTATCTAAACAACACATTGGTAAAACATAATTACGGTTTAATAGTGTAGTGATTTGATGCCAGACGAAGCATACAATGTTTCATCTGGTAACAAAATCTGTCCGTTGGATGATCGATGATGATGATGATATAATAAAGTGAAGTATTATATAATATGGATGTTAATGCGGTTCTATTCAATGTAATATGGTATAATACCGTTGTGTGGAAGATGTTTTTCCAAGTTGTGTAGTTCGAGGACATGGGCATAATATTATTAGGGGTTGTCACCGTTTTTCTACAACGCAGGTATATCAAAATCTGCTCTAGTTGCTAGTTTCCTTATAACCTGTATAAAATGCTTTTTAGCACTGTGTATACTTGTTATTGAAAATTAATTTATACACTCTGGTGCAACAAAATTTAGTGAATTAAGTTCCTTAACCATGTCTCCAATTAAATCTTAATTTTGATCTTTATAAAAGGCATATTTTTTAATTTATGAGTATAGCTTATGTAATGTGTACCAGGTTAAGGTAACCGATTACAGTAGTTGATTTTAATACAACTTAACATAACACTAGAATAGAAGTTAGTTTT